TGACAAATTTTATCAAAAATGTCCTGGAAAAAACTTGCAATGCTTTAGTGTTAACTGTATAGAAAACGTACATATTTGAATGGAAATTGCAAACCGACATGGACAATATGCTGTATGAATATAAAATTTTGATATTTTATATAGGTTTTCAACCTTTAATTACTAACTTAGTTTAATATATGGATATTTCGTATGCCATTAGACATTACTCAAGTTAATTAAAATGCCTTTGTTCTTGATATGTCTCTTGAGATTTATACTCTCATATCATATCTGCAAGGCTTAGGTAAAGAAGACAACATATATATATTTTTCAGCATAACCTGAGCTAGCACTAATCAGATGAATAAAATGACGTAGAAGTAGCGTAATTACTTGGTAAGTAAAGAGGAGTAAAAAAAAAGAAAACAGGAAACTTTTGAGCTGTGAGAATTAGGTATTATATATCCTGGCTAATATAGGGTGATTAAAAAAAGCACCGTTTAAAGGGAAACGACCTGCTAGTAGTACTTTGTGAAAACTAGAATGCTGACGAACAACTTGTTTTCTGATAAAACTTTTATTTTTATCATTAAACCTTATTTTTATGTTTCTTATGACCATTTTATAGTTTAAGAATTTTATCGTAATCGCACAGTGTATTTATTTGTATCGTTCGTAATCAGTCGACACTTCAATGGTATAGTATTCAACATCAGACTTTTATCTATCTTATTATGTTGTTGTTTTTTGTTTTTAAATAATATTATAAAGTTTCCCAAAGCGATTTTTTGTTTCTCTGGGACCAAAAACATTTTACTTAGGAAATAGTTTTACACCATATGTTTATCCTATTTTCTTCCGTGGTATTTATTAACACAGAAACGTTTTTGCTACTTTGCTGTACGCCGTACATGTGGCATTGTGACAGCTGCTTGATAATTTGAGTAGATTAAATTACGTATGATTTCCTCTCGTTCGGAATATTTAAATTCCCCAAAGTGGTACATTGTTTCCTTTGACCTCCAAGTGATAAAACTATTAATCGCAGAAAGTGTCACTTGTTAGTGACTTCTATCAGTGTTTTCCTCTATTATTACTTTTCGAGATCTATTCTTTTTTAGTGAAGGAAGAATATTTAAAAGGGTTCTCGTCTCTCCTGGAGTAGTAGTTTAATGGATTTTTTATCTGAAAAGAATTAACATGATAATACATGGTCGCTGAGTCGCGAAATTTACTTCGTAAATTACTTTAGTGTTCGTTGAGCTCTGTTATACAAAACCACATCATGAAATATATAAAGTCTGTGAAAACTTGAAATGTTTTAAGTGTGCTATTTACTACTCCGATGTTTCTCGTTATCAAAGTTACATATAAGATGTGCATTAAAAAACATTGAGAGAAAAATATACAAATTCTTATACATGGGAAGCTCTGTTAAAGCTAGAAAAATATAGTAAAAGAAATTGGAAAATACTGTTGTTAAATTTTCGTTGATCATTTTTATGTGTAACGCCATCTTGAATTATTAGAACAATGTAATATTTGAGGCGTTCCAGAACTTTATGGTGCCATCTGTTGGATTTCTATATAATTCAAGTAATTTGTCGATCTTTCTGATTTTATTGTTTGCCATTACTAAACTTCATCATGTTTTCATATAAGTTAATTATTTCTATGTGTTCACAAATGCTCTGTTTCATTTTACTACTTAAATTATTATTTGTCTTATTTTTTAATTCTGAAATTAAAGATATGAGCTAAGTAACTATGCTTTAAAATATCATTTTTATTTATTTTAGAATTTTAATTGAAGACTTGCTCTTCCCAACAGATACACCCAATTACTGGTCCAGTACAAGGAGGCACCCTAGTTACCATTAAAGGAAGCAACTTAGGAACAAGGAGAGAAGACATCCAAGATAAAATCACAATTGGTGGGGTTCCCTGCCATCTAGTAGAATATGATGTGTCTGTTAGGTAAAAATTAAAAAAATTTATTAATTAAAAATGATTTATTATAAAAAGAATGAAACAGCTATAAAACAAGAAAACAAGTAATATTTTAAAGCTGCAGTTTCACTTTCTTTAGATGTAAGAACCAGTTTATCTTAAACTAGAAATTGCCATTTTGGTAAATTTGTTTTACAAAAAAAAAAACACTTCCTATACACACTGATAGAACCACTTTATCAAATTTATTTTTGTTAGATTCATGAGGAATGAGATATATCGTCCAGTTTGTAAATTTTAAAAGTTTTGTAATAGAAGTACCACCAATCAAACTTTAGGCAAATAGTTCTTAAAAAGAACAATGTCATTGGTTTTAAAGAATAAAAAAATAGATATTACATTTTCTCAAACTGAACATTTAAATCTTTATTGTCTTGTTATGACCAAGGCAGTGAAATCAAATTCAATTATAAGAATAATATTTATACTTTACAATCAGCTGTTTTGAAATAGCAAAAAAAAAAATCATGATTTTACAGACTTGTATAGCCACCAATAAGTCAGCAGTAAGTTTACAGTGCTGACATCCAGGGTTTGATTCCTTAAATGGACAGAGGGCAGATAGCCCATTCTGTAGCTTTGTTCTAAAATAGCAACAACCACTCAGTTATTCAGACTTGTATGTTTGTGTTCCATTTATACGTGTATCCTTCATTGTTGGTGCATGTTACTGTGGTCATCAGATCAATGAGAGAATGATGGGTAACTTTTTGTACCTCTAAAACAAATATCTACTCTTTACAAGATAACAGAAGACTACCATGGGAAGTCTTGCGCTCTGTTGGACTTAGGGTAAAAAAAAAAAAGTTGATAAACACAGTTAGAAAAATAGAATAAAATAGTAGTTTTGTGTGATTAATAAGATAAAACTTTTGAGTGTTTGATACTAAGTTTTTGCTTGTTTACTTGTGAAATGAAATACGTCATTGTATTCTGCACCATTTGACATAATAAATCTTTGCTTAAAATGTGTTTTAAAATAAAAAAGCACCAAATAACAAAGGTATTTTTGTAACAAATTTATAACTACACTTCTACCCATGGAAACAAAATTCTGTTATTGTGTTGTTTTTACAGAGTTGTGTGCCGAACTGGTGTTAGTGATGCCACTAAAGCGGAGGTTATAGTTGGTAACAAAGCTGGTGTAACAAAAGCCACTGAGAGGTTCTCATATAGGGTAAGATATGAAACAAGTCATCTTATTTTCTGGATTTAATGCACTTAAGAAATATTTCCTTCTACAGCAGACATTATGCGTTTTCAATTTTCACTTTAAAATCTGATTCTTATCAGTGCTTAGAAAAGAAGTAAACATTTGACAATAGCTTTCTTTGCAAGCTATCTAAAGGGTTTGTCTGTTCTAGGTGGTCCGTTTAACCAGTGTACATCCAAATCTGGGTCCACAGTCAGGAGGTACCCGCCTCTACCTTACTGGATCTAACTTAAATGTTGGAAGCGTTATGGAAATATTTTTGGATAACATACCTTGTGAGGTTGATAGGTAAGAATTTAATTATACAATTTTCTGCTGAGCTCTGTGATATATATATATATATATATATAATAAA